AGAGGGACGGAGACGACAGAGGAGGAAGGAGGGGAAAGAGAGAGAGAGAGGAAGACGTGAAGAGAACAGGGAGAGAGGGAGAGAGAGAGGATGGAGGAGGAGGAGGAGGAGGAGGAGGAGGAGGAGGAGGAGGAGGAGGAGGAGGGGGGACAGGGCGGAGGGACAGATAGATAGAGAGAGAGAGAGAGAAAACTGATATAGGGGAGGAGCAAGGAGGAGGGGAGTGAGAGAGGGAAAGGGAAAGGGAAAGGGAAAGCGAGAGGGAGGAAGAGGAGGAGGAAGAGGGGTTGGGGGGGAGGAGAAACGATGTCAAAGACGACGATGACGACGACGACGACGACGACAAGGACCAAAGAAAATTCAAGCTGCATCAACGATACTACAATACACCCTCCCGTCCCAGATCCCATCCTTTCGTCCTCGTCAGTGTAAGGCGCGCCCTCTTCGAATACCATCATCGCGAAATCCCTTGCACCCTTCTATTATTTTCTACCATGAAGTTAAAACATGCGGCAAGGCATGACCCTAAAGGTCAGCATGGTTTCGAATACTATCCCCCTCCTACCAATAAGTTGCCGCCAACCGTCAGAGAACATGCTACAAACGTTTACACTCCTGGCCATGATGTTCAAGGACTTCTTACATAACAAAAACGCGTTCCGTCCGAACAGTGTCGGCGTGTGAGAACGCCTGATCCGTTTGAGTCGTCGCCGTCGTCGCTCGTGCGTGCGCGTCCCAGCCCCATACAGGACCACTGCCTGACAATCCTGCGCAATTGCGTATCGGGTTCGGTGGTATCGGATCGAAAACTGTTGTTATTTTTCAACTCGTGCTAACGAGTATTCGATGATACGTTCGCGGCACCACTGGATGGACACACGTTGCGTTTGAGCCAAAAGGCCAGGGCCCCGGTCTAAAGAGCGCGCTGTCGAGCGGATGCCCGCCCGACTACAGTAGAACGTCGAGTCCGCCCAGTGGCCGAAAACACGGGAAGCGCTGTCCCCAGTCAATTGAGGACCAAAATTGCCCAAAAGACTGCAGACATAAACGAAACTGGTTAGCACAAGTATGCATGATCAATTGCTGCGCGAGATCAGATGAACAGTAGGAAGAAGAGGAAGAAACGGCCAGAGGGAAGAGGAGGCAGAAAGAGGAAAGTGAACGTTGCTAGAACCACGTGATCCCCCCTGCCTGGGAGGCAGCTAACTGTGCATCAAGCAAGGCCCATCGTTGCTGCTTGGCGCCTGGGCGGCAGCGCGTCTTGTCTCGTCGTTTCTTGCTCCTCGGGGGCGCGATGAGCCCGTCCTCCACCTCAGCTGGGAGCTCCTCCTTGTGAGTACCCAGCTGGGGCAAAGGGCAAAAGGCAAAAGGCAGTTGGGCCTACCAGACACCGTCATCGGCCCCGAGCGCAATCTAGCAAGATATGCTTTTTATACTGTGCACAAGCATGGCCTCATCAAGGCTGGGAACCTCTTCTTCCCCATCGACCGCCTCGAGGCCAGCCACAGCGGACCTCTTCTCGGGCAGCCCATCCGTTTTCACCTGCTCCTCGCCCCCGCTCGCTGCGTCGATCGGTGACCAAAATGCCAAAGGCGACGTCGCCTACATTGGAACGCGGCTCTTCGCTCCAAGGCTTGATGACCTTCCGGATCGTCGGGGATTCGGACTCCGAGGCACGTCTCCCCCTCCTCTAGAGGCCGCGATCGCACCATGACCTTCCGGAGCTTCAGTGTCCAGCTTGTCGAAGGGGACCCCCCCTGGCGAGTCTGGGCCCTGCCGAAAACCGCCATCGACCTCGTCACTAGAGTTCTGCGGCCCAGAATCGACTGATGTCCGCGGCATCGGCCTAATCGGTTGAAGGCCAACTGCAACGCGAGGGCCGCCCGGACGGTCCAGGGCGATGCTGTCCATGGCCCAACGCGACACGTCGACGCTGGGGGCCCCCGCCAGCCTGGCGGCAACCATGCCCGCTGCAGAACACTGCGCCATGGTCGTCTTCTCCAGGCGGTCCTCGCGGAGTCTGCGGCCCCTCACAGCAAAGACCCTGGCCCACCAGTTGGCCCCGCAGTCGTCAAAGCTGCCTCATTGTGAATGAGGACGGCGGCCACGTCCAGCTCCTCCGTCCGCGAGATTGCCGATGAGCGCGCGCAGGCCCTCCGCGATCTGCCATCCAAACACCCGAGCAACGCGGAAATAAATCCCACCAGCCCTGTGGGCGTCGGTGGTTTAAGGCGTTTCCTCTTCCACCCCTCCTTCTTCCCCTCCGGGGAGGGGTTGCCCCTCCCCCCACCCCCTCCCCATGGACCTGGAGGGGTGGGGCCGCGAGGTGACAGAGCGCCCAAAACGGCCTCGGCGAGAAAGGCAAAATCATTGATTTCACTGGGGCTGCGGCCCAATTTTGGCCTCCTGGGGGGGCGAGGCTAATTAATGTTCCGCATTTCTTTGATAGGTCTCCTCCAAGATGGCCCCAAAAAGCGCCCAGGAGGCCCCAAGAGGTCCCAAGATGGCCCCAAGATGGCCCCAAGAGGCCCCCGAGAGGCCCCCAGGAGGCCCCCAAGAGACCCCCAATAGGCCCCAAGAGACCCCCAGAAACACCCAAGATGCTCCAAGAGGCCTCGGCGAGAATACCAAAACGGCCCCGGCGAGGAAGCCCAAATCATTGGTTGTACTATGATTTTGGCCCCATGTTGGCCTCCAGGGGGGCGACGCAAATTAATGTTCCGCACTTCTTTGATAGATCTCGTGCAAGATGGCCCCAAGAAGCGCCCAGCGGTCCCAAGATGGCCTCAAGATGGCCCCAAAAGGCCCCTAAGAGGCCCCCAAGAGGCCCCCAAGAGACCCCCAAGAGGCCCCAGGAGGCCCCCCAGAGGCACACAAGATGCCCCAAGAGGCCTCGGCGAGAATGCCAAATCATTGATGTCACGAAATTCTGAGCCACATGTAAGATGACTCCAAGAGCGCCTGGGGAGAGCCCAAGATGACCTCCAAGATGGCTCCAGATATCCCAAGATGTCTCATAATGGTTTCCTCTGCGTGCTGCCCACTTCCCTGATCCAGGCAATTTCTCGGGGCATTGTTTCTGGATGGGCTGGCGGGGATTCGCGAAGCGTCAAGAAGTCGCCCTCCGCGGTCGACAGCGCCAACGCGCCGCGAGGACAGCCAGCTGATGGTAGAGCGTCGATCCACTGGCCGAGTCAGGATCAGCCCATCGAAGCTCGAAGTTCACGCAGACGCTTGTCCCGTTCCTCTCCCAAGAGCTTCGTTGACACGCGCGAGCCGTATACCGCCTCGTCAAAAGCCCGATGCTTGCCCTCCTCCACGAGCCACCAGCGCGCCCGCGGAGACGGGGGGCGCAACCGCGACGAGTTTGTCCGCTGGCGCGGGCGCGTGCAAGAAGGCGCGCCCCGCGCATCGCTCCGAGCTTCAGCGCTGCGAGCGGCGAGGGCGCCTCGGCCCGGGCAGCCCAAGACTGCAGCTCGCGGGCCAGGTAAGATGTTGCCGCGCGGCAGGCCTGGCACTTGCACTTCTCGCCGCCCTTGGACCGCGCGCGCGCCATCGGCCGCGGCCGCCCGCGCGCGCGGAGCTCTTCTGGCGCCGTCCCGCGGAAGGCCCCGCGCCGAGGAATTTGCCGATCATCCCCGCCTCCGCCACGAGCTCCTGCTGTTAATCGGTTCGGCGCCGACGCTGTTCGCGACCTCTTGAGCAGGCGCGATCCTCCTCACGGCCCTCTTGTCGATCAGCTGTTGCAGGACTTTCTGGTTCAGCGAGTCGACGCGGCCCCAGGGCGCCTGCGGCCACGACGTCGAAGACCGAAGGCCGTCTGTCCGCCGCTCCTCTGGCGACACCTGCGCTTTGCCATTCCGCTCTTGCGCAAGCGCCGCCACGCCGGGGCATTCCTCCAGGTCCTCGTCGCCGTCCGCCTGCTCCCAAATCGTCTCCAGGCCGCCCTGCTTCGCGTCGCCCGCCCCCTCCCCGTCGTCGCTAATCCACGCCGCGCGGCCTCCTGCCACCCAGTCGCCGTCTATCTCGACCCCTGTGTCCAGCGCGATCGCGGCGTCCGACGACGCGGCGCGTCGTTTTCGCCGGCCCCCGCGAGCCCCTCAGGCGCCCCCCGAGCGGCCGCGCACGACATCGCCACGCGCGCGTGCGGGTGCTCGCGGAAGGCGTCTCCATGGTGGCCTCTGCGGCGATCGGCGGCTCGTTAGCGCGAGTCACAATGCCCGCTGACTCACCCATCGGGGGTCGGGGGCTGGCCGCAAGGGCGGCTGCCCCGAATCAGGTGATTCGGCCGGGGGTTGATCTGCAGGCGCATTTTCCAGGACGGCGCCAGCTGCCCGCGGCGTCGGTGGAGAAGCGCGCAATCGCCGCCCCCAAACTAAGCCGTGATTCCCTGGCTTTCGGCACTCGAGGCCAATCGCCGCGCGCGCCAGGCGCGCCACGGTCTCCCCTGCGGTCGCCCCGCCAACGGGATGCGCCGGAGCCCAGCTGGCTGCGTCGTAGAGCGCGGGCTCCAGGAGAGGCAATGGCGCGTCTGGTGGGCCCCAGTTCTCCGCGTTGACCTCGACCCAGTCGAGGTCCTCCTGCTCCGGACCTCGCGGCGGCAGGTTGGGCCGCGCCTTCGCCGCGCCCTCCTGGTAGGTCCGCGCGGCGCCGGGGGCCGAGCGCGAAGGTCCGACCGCGGTCGCCGGCTCAACTCGCGGGGGAAACATTCCTCGGCGGCGGGTCTCGCATCGCCCAGGCCCCGACGGGTTATCCATTTGAGCCGCTGCCCGGGTGACCATTCCCTGCCAATTCGCGGGCTGCCGCGCTCCGCTGAGGAGGTCCCTCGCTCGACGCTTAGGGCGCCAGCTCCGACCTCGGATGACGCGTTCGCGTTCGCGTCGCACCCCCGCGCCACGGTCTTGTCGATGCCATGGAACGCGCGGCGTTCGCCCGGCTTCTGGTCGACGAACTCCGCCCCCG